AGAGATTATCTTACACACAAGTTTTATACATAAATTATATATAAATTTTAATGATTCATCTCTTCACTAAGAATAATTAAAAATTATTTATTTTTTATCTTATTTTTCAAAAGATAATTCTTTGTTTTAGTTAAAAAAATCTTCTTTTAAAAGATAATTCTTCATTTTAGTTAAAAAATAATCTTTTAAAAGATAGTTCTTCATTTTAGTTAAAAAAATCATTATAAATCTTAATTATTTATTATGAAGGATGATTAAATGTTAAATGTTGTCAATTTAGTCAAATTATTAAAATTTAGCAACCAAACAATATGGTTATAATATTACATAATATTATAAACTTATAATGACATATCATTATATGATTAACTATTTTACTTAAAAATCACACATGATAAGATATACATTCATTTATTTAATATCATATTATTGTTATAAGTTTGTAATGTCACATTACATTATAATCAGAGCATTTCCAAAACATGAAATGGTTAAATTCATCAATAAAATAGAGAAGAAGAAGAGAAGATCCTCCCTAGAAAAAATTAGTGTTAAGTGCATAAATTAGGGCGGAAGACAGATAACAATGAAAAAACAAAAAAACAGAAAAACAAAAGTCATTAAATCATTCTCTCAAATTTTGACTCGTGTTCGGAGCAAACCCGCAGATGAGGGTATAAATTTTAGTTACTTTTTATTTAAAAATATAATTTTTTTAAAAATAAAGTTGTCAATTTTTAATTTTTTTAAATTAAGATATAAATTTTATTTTTTAATTTAAAATTTTAATAGATAATAATAATGACATGACTCATGGAAGCACTAAATTTATAAATAAAAACTTACAAAATTTTGTACTCTTAAATTTAATTTTAATTTAAAATTTTAATAGATAAAAATAATGACATGACTCATGGAAGCACTAAATTTATAAATAAAAACTTACAAAATTTTGTACTCTTTAAAAAAAAAAAAGAGAGATAACTTGATTTAAATAATAATAATGACATGACTCATGGAAGCACTAAATT